GGGCACTGTTCTAGGCATGGTGGACTTAGCAATAAATAAAACAGACAAAAATCCCTGCCCTTGAGGAGCTTATATTCCAGTAAAGAGCCAGAGATAGTAAATGGGCTTTGTGGGCCATCGAATTTCTCTTGCAATTATTCAACTCTGCCATTGTAGCAGTAGGCATAAACAATATGTAAATAATTGTTTACAACAAAGAGTTGTCATAACCAATATGTAAATAATGCAGAAATGAATGGGGATTGCTGTGTTCCATTAAAACTTTATTTATAAACACAGGTAATGAGTCAGATTTGACTCACAGACCATAGTTTGCTGACCCCTACAGTAAAGGAAGACAGCAATAAACACCGCCAAAACTAACAAAAATAAAATAAACTTTAAGTTGAATGACGATAAGTGCCATGGAAAAAGTAAAACAACCAAGGATATACATAGTGTTGGAGTGTGGTCAGGGTAGTCCTCACCAAAAACATGATATCTCTAAAGACCTGAAGGAGGTGAGCAGGAGAGTCATAAGGATGTCCAGGCAAAGAATATTTCAGGATAGGGACTGCCAAATGCAAAATCTGGAGGCCTGTTCTTCTCGAGGAATAGTTAGATGGACAGTTTGAAGCACAGTGAGTTAAGGAGATGGTAGTAGGATGAGATCAGAGAAGCAACATGTGATTGTATGGCAAATGATTCAAATGCCATTATAAAGTCTTTGGTTTTTACTCTGAGAGAGATAGGAAGCTTTGCAGTTTTAAGCACAGGAGTGACCTGATCTGGCATTCTAGTTTTAATTGGATCACTCAGACTGCCATGTTAAGAATAGACAATTGGGGTAACAGGGAGCCCAGTTTGGAAGCTGTTGCAATAATCCAGTGAGAAATTATGGACCAGATGATAACGCTGGAAGTGGTGAGAAGTGGCAGGATTCTGATATAGGTTAAAGTTAGCCTGATCAGGATTCAATCTTGGATTGGAGAGGGAATGTGAGAAAGAGAGAAGTCATGGTGACACTTAGATTTTTTGTCTAAGAAACTGTATGGAGGTCGGGGAGGAGAAATAGGAAGGATCAGAGTCTCCAGTATGATTATGGCAAGTTTGACACCTATTAGATATCTGAATACAGATGTCAACAATGTAGCTTCTATAAGATTCTGGATATCCAGGAAGAGGCTCATACTCAGGGTAGAAATCTAAGAGTTGTCAACATATAAATGGTATTTAAAACTGATGAGTTCACCAAGGGAGTGAGTATAGAAGGAAAGAGAAGAGGTCCAAGCAGTGCACCTAGTGCACTCCAAAGTTAGGGATCCAGGGAGATAAAGACATAACAGCAAAAGGAGATTGAAAAGTTCAACCAGTAAGATAGGAAAAAAATCAGGAAGAGTGGAGCCGTGAAAGCCAAGTGGAAAAGTGTATGCTGGAGGAGGGAGTGAGCAATTGCATCACTTGCACCTGAAAGTGCATAGAAAATGGAGACTGAGAACTGAACCATTGCATTTGGCAACGTGGAGACCATAAGCAGAATTGACAAGAGCAGTTTCAGTGCAGTGGTAGGAATGAGAGCCCTGCTGGAGGGAGTCTCAGAGACAAAAGAAAGAGAGAAATTACAGACAGGGAGTGCACACAGCTTTTTCAACGGGCTTTTATTTTTAATAGCAGAGAAAAGAATTAAGATAATAACTGGAGGAGGTAAGTAGCGCAAGAGAGGCTCTTTGGGTGTTTTGTTTTAAGATGGGACAAACATCACCATTTGTGTATGCTGGCAGAAAAAAATCCAAAATAAAAGGGAAAATTGAAAGAGAGGAAAGAAACTAGACAAATGAATGACATGGTGGAGCGGTTTCCATGAGTAGATGCAATTGGATGAGATCTAGTGCAGAAGTAGGTGGGTTGGGTTAAATACTTTGTTCCATAAAGTGCTTGGCATGGTGCTTATTCCTTTGTAAATGCTCAAAACTGACAGATATTAAATCACCAGTTGTCAATTAAGGGGGTTTGGTAAATATGATCTTATAGTTGCAGTGGAGGTACAACATTCAGTAGATTAATGAAAGTAAGATGAATAGTATCATGACAATGAAATGAAGACAATTGGAAGCAACATTGAATCACATTGACTAGCACCTAGGGTATTGGTCTAATGGTAAACAGATACCTGAAGGAGAGTAAGGAAGAATGATGTGTTACTGTTTACATTTGGTTCATGGGGTGAGTTTGCTGGAACCAGGATCCCACATGGTACTTGACTCCTTGACTTATTGGGTTGATTAATTAATTGTCTTTGCCCTTTATAAATTCAATGTGATGAAAAACCCATGTCTCTTGCCCCACAACTATTGCATAGCATAATGTTATTTCTTTATATTCTTCCACTGGTTTTTACTGATTCATGAAGGCTGAGCTATAGGGCAGAGCTATAATAGGAAACCAGACAAAGGAAAGGGGGTGACAGGAAAACAGCTGCCATTTCCACTAGAAAGAAAAAGGGATTGGAGTAACTACAATCTGAATTATGAACATAGCTCTATGCCAAGTATTGAAAGAAATACATCATACTTATGAAATATATCTCAGCAAAAATAGAGCTTTAGGAAACCACATTTTGTTATTTAATACTAATAACCTTTTGTTCTTATAATAATTGTTCCTCACTGAGGTATGGTAGATATCAAATTTGAATGCATCTTAATTCTTCACCTGTTTCTACTTAAATTTGGAGCTGTTTTCTTTTGGAAAAAGACTTGAGCCCCAGGTGTAATAAAAACACACTTTAGAATGTAGCAAACAATTTGACAATACATCATTATAGAAAAAAACACTTTCAGAAAATATTAATAAAAATGCTAAAAAAAACCCTAATCCTACAATGGTGAACACAAAACCAAATCACCAAAAGAATTGTGAGAAAGCCCTAGAAACCCACTGTGGTGATCCACGTCCTTCACTCTCACAATTGTTGTAACCCAAGGATGACAATCATTATAAAAACATTACAAAAAGTCTATCAATTCAGCTTTTACTTAACTCAAACCACTGTTTCTATGATCCAGGATTATCTTTTACATTTTTTTTTTTTTGCATGCTTCAAAATTGTAAACCTTAGTTCCTGAACTCTGCTTGGTAATTTTAGTGCAACGTGTTATGTTGTCCCTGTATTATACCAATGCCCACCATGGGTTGATCAAATCCTAACCGTTTGTTTATCTTAGAGTTGGGCGACTACCCAAATCTGGCCCACTACATGGTTTTTTTTTTGTAAATAAAGTCTTACTGGAACACAGCCACACTCATTTGTCTATAGCTGCTTCTGCAAGGCAAAATTGAGTAGTGGTGAGACCAGACGGCCCACAAAGCCTAAAATATCTACTATCTGACCCTTTACAGGAAAATTTGCCACCCTGGTTTAACTAATGGCTGGTGTACTTGTTAAGCAATGTTTGTTGAACCATATTTGCAAATCCAAATGCTAATAGTGGAAGGAATCAGAGTGCAGACCAAATTGTCACTCAAGAGTACCCAACTCCTATAAATATTAATTACAGAATATGTTATCCTTGAGAGTAAAATTTTATATTTCCTATTGATTTCTTAAATTCAGAATTTACCAAATAAATTTCTATTAAATAACAGGCATCTACATGTCCTATAAACTTCCTTTTTAGGTTGTCATGAGAAGAAAATTTTTCCAAGTGCTTCTATCAGAATACAAACGTTTGAAATGCACTTTTGCCCCTCTGCAGTCTATGATTTTTATAACTTGTTTCTGCCCCATTCATATCCACACAACATCAAAACCTTCTACCTCTCTTTATGTTGTCATTAAGGACTTTGAAAAATATAAAAGAATTCTTAAAAGATTAGTTATTCTTAAATCACTGTCATTTATTTTGAAATGTCAGCAGGCAGCTTCTTTCCAGTAACACATGTGTAAAAAGAAAAATATTGAGCTGAATAATCCTCCAATTGGTGACATTTGTTTCCACTGTTAATTTTTAAAGTTCTAATTTTTGTCTGTCCTGAGCAAGAATCTAAACATATAAATTCTTCCAACAGAGTAAGTTTATAGCTGCTGTGCCTTAGACAACCTATATTTAGGGAAGGAAAATTTCTAATTCAATTTACAATGATGTCAAGAAACAACACGTTTCTGCAAGCAAAGATAAGAAAAACATTCAGGGGCACACAGTGATAGCTCTACTTAAATAAATAAACTTTCAGTACTAGTGATTAGGTACACAGGATTATTATATGTTTAATTGGCTAACGTGACAATTTGGAATTACTTCTAGTCACATTTAATTGGATTTGGAATCTCTGTAGAAAAGAAATAGAGAGACCTAGTAAAGAAACAGTCATAAAAGTAAACTGTTTTTCCAAAGGGTGCTAAGTAATGAATTAATATCCATTGCACAATAGTTTTTAATATTCCCTCATCTTAATAAGACTAATGCAGTGGTTGTACACAGTAGATACTGAAACCAATTCAATTAGACACAAAGTGTGGGGGAGGGAATTTTTTGTTGTCTTGGAGATTTTTTAATAATATTTCCAATTTTAAGAAGGCTAATTTAATCAGAGGTAAAGTCTGAGATATGCTTAAATACCAGTCTTAATAGTTAGCTATATATGGATGGTAGGTTTGAAGGCATCTAAAAGTCCATAAAATCTGTGTTACTCTGTAAATGTTTTGAAGCTTAATATAAAGCAACCAAAACAAAGAATTCCCTCATAATCTTTAAATATTCTTATACTGTACAAATAAAAATAAATCTAGAAAACAAATGGCAGATTGCTTCTCTCTTCTAGTCTCTCTTCTGGTTCAGCTGTCTCCCCAAAAATCCTACTTTCAACATTCTAAATGTGCTTTATATTTTGCTTAATATTAGTTTAGTCAAATTTATACATTACAAAATCAACTTCCTCAGCATTTTTATATATTGCCTATCAAGATTTTCCTTCAGTCCTGTAATTTTTGTTTTGTAATTTTAATCTATCTTTGTTCTTAGGAGTGCCATGATTGCTGACTACATGTTCTGGCTCGGTGGAGGAAGTGAACAGTGTGTAAGCAAGCTCATCAAACTGTATTGGCAGGTAAAAATTGATGTCCCAACTAGGGAGGAGAAGCCCATCTCATTTTCAGAACAAAAATAAAGGATTGGTCCTTAAAAGACTGCTGAAAAGGTACCTCTGGGCATATCAATCAGAAGGACACTACCAAGTAGTAATGTATTTATAATGAAGTAGATTTTCTGAGACTAATTTTAAGAGCAAAATTCAAGGTTGTTAACCCTTGGCCCATACTTCAGTTTTACAACCCAATATAAATTTTAGATATCCCAGGAACTATTTTTTCAGGCATGCTACTATGCTGATATGATTCTTTAAAACACGACCATTGCATTTTCACAGATTCTTGTTGATCTATGACCTACATGCTAGAAGTAAACATTAATTACATAATAAAGGAAAATGCAAAGATAAGATATATTTGTTGAGTAGCATTTACTATTTGGAACACTTAACCAATGGCAAACTGCAGTTCTTCTTTTTCATTTATTATTAAAAATGGCAGCAAGGAGTCATACCAGTATGTCCCTGTGGCGCAATTGGTTAGCACATTTGGCTGTTAACTGAAAGGAGTCATATCAAAGATCAATTAGATGTCAAGAAGATAGTCTTAACTTCTTAGAATTATAAGGGGAATTTTGAATGTACTTGTTTAGTCTCCTTTACAACATATGAATTTTTTCTTGCTTTATCCTCTCCCCTACAAGTGTGTCTCATAGGTTTTACTTAAATATAATCAATGAGTCTCACCCCCCCAAAAAAATCAATTTGTAATTACTTAAACTGTTCTCTCATTTAAAAGTGGAGTTCTCTACTTCCTTAACTTCATCCAGTGGTTTTCCAGGGTGAGCCACGATAGAACCAAATGGAACTCATTTCCAATGGAATTTTTTTTTTAATATCTGAATCAACTACGAAAAGCCAACTCCCTCCTCTATAGCTTCCGTGTCCAAGACAGTGTGGGAATTTTTCTTGTAATTTTAACGAAGGTTAATTTAACGTTGAATATAAGACCTTTGGACCGAACTGGATACGGTCTGCAAACACTATTATTGGAAAGCAAGACGATATGAATCATCAACAGCCTTTGATGCGTTCGCTGATTTTTCCCCACATTTTCCTATTATTGTTCTGCGCTTAAGTTTTTTATGGTTTTAAGAATATTTTTTATTTTAGTTATTGATGGGGTATAGTTACGGTTACAGTATATGTGCCCATGCCTCCCCTCCTCCCCCCTCAAGACAGAGCCTCAAGCGGCTTTTAAGTTTTTATCTCTGGTATATTATCATGTTATCTTTATTTAGACAGTAAATTATCAGGTTGACCATATAAATTCCAGTAATTTACTTGTTTTCTTTAAATGTTGGAGCTTCAATTTACCCTACTATTTAAAAAGAAGATTTAAATTAGTTCTGACTTTACTTCAGACCTGTTGATTATTTTTTAAAATTAACCGAAACGGTGATCTTCAGAAAAATTAATCTAAAAACAACTGATATTTTTTAGGAATTTTCTTTAGGAAGAATTTTAGAATTTTCCTTAAGGGAATCAAAATACAAAACATGGTAGTTGCTTATAAGGCATGTCACTAAATAGTTGTAAAATGAATTGCTCAGGTGTAAAAATAACGCAAATATATGGACTTAGTAAATATATAAAAGAAGAACGACGTATTCTAATAAAGGATTTAGAAGTTCTTGAGGAGTGATGAGAAGGAGTTGAATTCTTTGCAAATTGGATAATAAGAAGGTTACCCTAATATAGTCTCTGGATGCAGATATTATTTATCAATTCATTAAACAAACCATTGATATTGAGACCTATTGTGTTTTCACGGCATTGAACTAAGAAAAAATAAGAGCCAAGGCGAGGTCACGTGGCTACGCAGCGGGAGTCGCAGGCGCATCAAATGCCACATAATAATCTGGTAGTCGTTACTCGTCCTTGCCAAATGGAATCGTGGGGAAGGTTGATTGGGAAGCAGTGCAAACAACTGCTAAAGTGAGAGTGACCAGGCTTGTTCTGATTCCGGTATTTTTATGAAGTGTTTAATAACGCGAAAAACTACTTTGGTCATGAATGCTCTTCAGCAGCGTCACGGTTGGGGATTTGTGCCTTCTCAAAGCTTTACCTGTACCACGAACAAAGCACGTGAAAACACGAGCTGGCTGAAGATCGTTTTCAAAAGTTGAAGAGTCATAGATCCAGTGACAGGAAAACCCTGTGCAGGAACTACCTACCTGGAGAGTCCAGTCAGTTTGGAGACAACCCACTAACCAAAATCTGGAAGAACTTGATATTCTCTTCGTCACAGTGATGGAAGATTAAGAAGAAGCCAAGGGAATATATTCACATTCGCTTTATGAAAAGAAATTTTTCTAAGTTCATCACAACTTTCCAGTCTCTCTTGTAGTATTTATGAAATAGCTAAAAGTAAATGAAGCAAAGCTTGTTAAATTTCATAAAGGTTATGGCATGTTTTCAGATTTTTCTTTCAGTGGATATAGTTTCACATTGCACTGAGTGTCCTAGCAATCTGCTGCATTATTTTGTAAGTTCTGTTTTACAAGTGTATATTGTTTTCTTTTTTCATCAAGAAATGCTATAGGAAACCTTTATTTTGGGGATAGAAAGCCTTTTGATGTGAACAGATAAAGCCACAGTAAGTGAATGTTTTTGATAGTATATATTCAAAATAAATTTAAATATTTTGTCTGATTTCACCAATTCCAAAAGCAAATAATCAACATGCTTGTGGCCAGACTTTCTTCAGATTAAGGCATAGAAAGTAAAATTTTTTTTAAATTGTGTCATTTTCTTCTAGGCTAGATTAAATAGGAATGAGTTCCTAAAATCTAACACTTTGAATAAGGTGTAGGACCTCAAACACATGTGCATTTGATTTGGAGAGTGAGTTTTATTGCTATTCATTAATAAACTGATAACTTAGAAAAAAAATAGAGCCAATATTGGTATAACTGAAGACAAATTAAAAGCTTGGAATTTTTATAAATAAAATTTGTTTCTGATTATTTTTGTGGTTCACAGCATGCCAATTGGGTTTTCACAGTCATGTGTGAGATGCACCTCCCTCAAGCCTTGTTACAGCATTAGCATTATACCCATCTGATATGGAAAAAAAAAATCTGTTTCCTTTAGCTTTCAAAGAAAATTAATATCCAAACTTCATTTACCTCAAACTAAGCAAATAATCTCCACTTACCAATACATGTATGTTTGCAATACAAAATTGAAATGAAACAAATACTTTATTTTACTATTCTGCATTAATAAAAGATAAGAAAAACATGATTTTCTTTCTATTCTTTTCTTCGCCTTTAATTGGAAGTAACTGGCATAGTGGAAAAGAGGTCTTGTCCAGACATCAGGTCTGACTCAGTACATGTTCTGACACCAACTAGTTATCGGACCCAGGGTGAGTTAGTCTCTAGAGGATCTCCATCTAGAAAGTAAGGATGACTGGCATGAAGTGTTTGAGAAGGCCTATTCTTGATGTAGGTTTTAGCACTAAAATCTCATCTAAAATTTTACCCATATCCAAAAATGATGTCATAAATTTTAAGGAAAAAAGAAGCAACATAATTAGAATTCACACCTACAGATAAATCCTATAAACTAAAACCCCCTATCAAGCCCCAACATCAGCACATCACTGGCCATATCCTTCCTTCTGCTAACCAGCTTCTTCTTGATCTTAATTCAAATGTATACATCTTCCTTCCTAAACCTTGTTCTGCCAATTTGAACCTGTCCAAAGAGTGCTTAATCCATGCCCCTCTTTAAAGACATAGATGTCCCACCCACCAAATCTACCTTAGCAATTAAACTGATGACTTTAAGAATGTCCCCAAGCATCACAGACTAGAGATTGTATTGATATGCACATATGTAGACAAATAGACAGGCACTATTTGCACCACCTTTGTAAGAAGTTCCTATACAATGTATCTTCCGTTTTAATCACATGAAATTCCTATCACTCTAGTTGATTATTCTTCTTAGAGATCTTAAACAAAAAAATGGAAAATTCAGAATGTAAAAATTTGAGAACCAGTCTACATCTAGTCTCAGAGATTGCTGATTTACAATCTCTTAGATGCAAAAGAACAGATCTCTGCTTTGTTGAACTCAAGAATATCTTTCAATTGTATTAGAAACATTTTTTTTACATCAAAAACCTAACAAGGAAAAAAAAAGAGGCATAAAGCCCTATACTATATGACAGCTCACACTGGGCTATATCACTCTGAACAAGTGTTTGCACATGTTATTCTATAATAGCATCACTCTTCAGAGGTAGCGAGGATTAAAAATAACTTGTTAGGACTGTACTTGCACACCATGCCTCTGCAACCAGCACCCAGTCTTCTGGTTTCAGCCATTCTCTTTGAGAACAACTCCAAGACCTCATCACAATTCTGGACTGATTAGCAAAATATAAAGTACCCAGTCAGGCTGACAATTAGCTCTTCTTGAAGCAGTTACCCTATGGTATTTACATAGTGGTCCTAAAGTAATATTATTATAATAAGAACTTTATAGTAAACTACAGTCCAACTCCCAAACCCCCTGCTCCTTAGATCCAGAGCTAGCTTTACTAGGATAAGGAAGATAAACCAACAAAATTCTCTCTTCTTTCACCCCCCTGTCCTATTCTCCCACATTGACTTTCAGTCATGTTCTAAGTCACAAATATTGTCTTGTATGTGGCTTCACCTCCTATAATGTGAGTAACAAAGCCAACCCTGCTCTGTACTGCTCAACAAAGTGGAGTGAGAAAAGGTAACAGTTGATTTTGTTGCAGAACTTCCTCAAAAGGAGTGCAGGGGAACCCTACTAAACAGGGGCAATTGCCTGATCAGCTAGCTCATTCATCATTTTAATGGTTCTCTTTCTTTCTTTCTTTCTTTCTTTCTTTCTTTCTTTCTTTCTTTCTTTCTTTCTTTCTTTCTTTCTTTCTTTCTTTCTTTCATTTTGAGTTACAGACCCCTCTGAAAATTTAA